AAAAAAAAAAAAAAAACAAAAAACAGGCCTCAAAAGCAGAGTTTCCAGAGAGACTCGCTCGGCTTCAGGTTAGTAGAAGTTTCTGATAGGCGAATAAGAACAAAGAATTCTAAGGAGAGAGAAGAAGTAGGATGGTATCTGTGAAGGACGTGGTGAGAGTGGTCGATGGGTTATCTCTAGTGGCCAAGGAGGGCATCAGCCGCTCAAAGGGCGCTCCCCTGATCAAGATCGCTGTCCTCTCCGCCGCAGACATCGCCGGGATCACCAAAGGAAAGCTCCGTACTCTGGAAAAACCCCAGACTGATAGTAGCGGTAACGCTCACACAAATGCAGGCGGCAGCAGCGTCGTCTACTTCACGGACGGCAAACCAGTGCCGGACGTGCTGGCCCCAATCCCTAAACCCCCTGAATCAGAAACAACTCCATTAGGGCACTCGGTGGATCGCAAACCAGTGCTCGATGTGCCATCCCAAATCGACTCCAATAGAGACGGTTCCCAGGCTTTGGTAGGTGCAGTTGGTCCCCCGATTTCAAATGCTGTGAAACCCGAGAAGCAGAGGAAGCCCAGGGAGAGGCGAGTCCCTTCGACCCCCTTCTCCCGAGCCATAGGGTGAGCCGCTAGGTTAAAAAATTGCAAGTGGCATTTAATTTTCACATTTATGGACCATGTTTTTGTTCGTCCAATTCTCTTGGCTTCAGTTTTTGTTTTATCCTCTCAAGTATGATTGAAGGTTTGCCGGACTTGGAGCTGGTCTTGCTTGGGGAACTCTCCAGGAATCTGCTAAGCGGATCATGTTTGGTACACCTAGTGCAGAAAACAATCAACACGCCCTTTCCCCATACCTGTCTGAGAGAAATGCTGAACGTTTAGCTCTTGCTTTATGCAGAATGCGTGGAGCAGCTCTCAAACTGGGCCAAATGTTGAGTATCCAAGATGAATCTCTTGTACCTGCTCCTGTAAGTAGATGATTATTCCTTTGGTTTAGACTTTGTGCCTGTTTGCAAGCTTTTCAAATCAGTCGAAGTCGTTGTGATGAAGATGATATTCTTAAACGATTATCAGACAACTCATGCTATCTATGCTTCTAATTTAAAGATCCTTATGTATAAGCAAATTTACCAAGTCTAGTGAGTATCAATTTTTCATTATGTGATGCACAATATTTGCCTCGATCCCGAAAGTCCCTCTTACTTTTTTTCCCTTTAACTAATTGGGTTTTCCACAAAATTATTAAACATTGGCTATGTTTCTTATCAATTGTGCGAACTCCTATTCCTTTCCAGATCTTAGCAGCTTTGGACATTGTCCGTCAGGGAGCAGATCGGATGCCAAGGAATCAGCTCAATCAGGTGATGGATACTGAATTGGGTTCCAGTTGGTCATCTAAGTTGATGAGATTTGACTATGAGCCAATGGCTGCTGCAAGTATAGGACAGGTAATGAAAGTAAAGTTATGCTAATCATGCTCACACCTTCGATCCCTCCGAGTTCTGTTTTGCATTTCCATTTCTGGCTCAAGGATAGACATTGTAGAGCATGCTTTTGACAATTCTCTCTCCTTCATGGTATAAAAGTTTGTCAAGATCCTGCTCATCTTCAACTGTTATGTTACATTTCTTGATTGCCTTATATTCTCTTTTAGGTCCATCGTGCTGTCACAAAAGATGGTTTTGAGGTTGCAGTAAAAATTCAGTATCCTGGAGTTGCAGATAGCATTGAAAGTGACATTGAGAATGTTAAATTGCTAATAACTTACACAAATTTGCTACCAGAAAAAATGTTTCTCGACAATGCAATGAAGGTAAACCTTTTGCATTCATGTATTTTCTTTAACTTTTGCTTCATGGCGTTTATTTTTCTAATGAAAATTTCCAATGTATATCTTTGTACATGTTACTTATGCTTTAAATGTGGCATCAGCCTTTGTCTGTTATAGTTTCTTGTTTACTTGGATTTGTGGGCCCAATCCTACTTGTGGATCAATCAGCTTAGTTAAAGTTAAACTAAGTTGTCTGCTTAAAGTTATAGTTTCATAGCCATGTACTTAGCTTAAAGTTAAATGTGCCTGTAACAAAAAATGAAGTTTCCAGTGAGGAAAAAGCATTCGTTCTTAATTTGTGTTATGATATAAAGCAGAAGTATACATCACGTTCTATGATCAGACTAAAACGGAAATCTTAACGGTGTGATGATTAACCATGACTCTGACATCTAATAAGTTGCCAATTGGCTGGACTTGTTGGTTCATTTTGGCATTCAATCTTGTAGGGCGGTTGGGTACATATGTCCATGCACTTATAGGAGTTGAATGCATATTCTGGCATGTGAAGTAGTACGTAATGCTGATATTTTATTAAGAACTGATTGCTATGTAACACGGTCCTATATGGCTGCAGATTTGAACTATCTTTGTGCTTATCTGATATAATTCCATTGCAGGTTGCAAAAGAGGAACTTTCTCGCGAGTGTGACTATGAATTGGAGGCTAAAAACCAGAAAAAGTTCCGTAGTCTGCTGACCGATACAAAAGGATTTTATGTTCCATTTGTGGTGGATGATTTATGTAGTAGAAGAGTGCTAACCACAGAACTAGTTCCTGGTAGGTGCTTCTTTTATCTCTTATTTTCTTTTTTTCTTCAAGAATAAATAACATCCTTTTGAAGTGATAGAAAACTTATACAATCCTCCATAGTGTTTACTTTGTATTTTGATATTGAAGAAGGATAATTAAGTATTATCTGTGAAGATTGGTCCCTTTGCCACGTTTAGTTGACACTTGTATCAGTTGGATGTGATTGATTTTGACTATGGTGATACTTTTCCTTTTCCCCTTATTGGCTATGTTTTTTACCATTTGCAGGAGTTCCGATTGATAAGGTTGCATTACTAGACCAAAAGACACGTGATTACGTTGGGAAGAAGTTGCTTGAGCTCACTTTGATGGAGCTATTTATTTTCAGATTCATGCAGGCATGTTATCGTGTTATGGAATCTCTTTATCTTAGTTTGTACTCACTCTTCTGATGCTCTCCTCTCCTTTGTATTCTATATGTATATCTGAAGCAGACTGATCCGAATTGGAGTAACTTTTTATACAATGAGGCGGAAAAGTTGATCAACCTTATAGACTTTGGAGCAGCTAGG